CAATCTTCCAAAGGTGCAGATCTTGCCTTTAACGGCCTGATTATTCTTTTGCATGCTGCATTCGCATTCTCAAAGGCCAAAGATTCAATTATTATCTTACTAGCTTCTGAATCTGGGACCATTCTCTTTACTGCTGAAGCCAGTCTTTGTAAAAAAAAATCTGTGAAAGATTCTTTTGGGCCTTGCATAACCTTTATAAATGACTCAGTTTTTTTCCTGGTTCCTCAACTCTGTCCCATGCATTCAAGGCTGTCGTTCAACATAAAATTAGGGTTTGGGGGACTGGAGAGATGGCTCAGAGGTTAAGAGCACTGGCTGCTCTTCCAGAGGTCCTGAGTTCAATTCCCAGCATCCATATGGTGGCTCATAATCATCTGTAATGAGATGTGGTGCCCTCTTCTATATATATAATAAATAAATAAATCTTTAAAAAAAAAATTAGGGTTTGGATATCATATAAACATTGTGTTTGTACTGAATCATATTGGCCTTTTTCAATAAGCTGATCCTGGCAAACTTGCATTCCTTTATCCCTCCATTGTTTTTCTATGTTTTTAGCCTCATCCTTGAACCAAGTTAAAAACTGAAGCCTCTGGCTGGGTTCAAGAACAGCTTGTGCCAGCTCCTGCCAGTCCTGTGGTACAATCCTTTTGTATGTTGACCAAGAGTTTAACATTTGCTTTACATATGGGGAATGCATGCCTTAAGATACTATTGCCTCCTTAAACCTTCGTAAACCCAACATTTCAATTGGAGCCCAAATATTTTGTGTAGTCATTTGATCAGGCAACTGCTGTACGGTTACAGGATAAATTAAGGGTGACTGTGTGAAAACAGGCTTTCTTTCTGTAACTTTATGACCCAAACTTGAAACAGCTTCACTGTTAATTTCTTCTGTCTGAATTTTTACAGGTTTAACAAGTTTTTCTAAAGCTGTCATCCTGGCACTTAAGTTGACTATCTTTTTAAATAGTAAAATGAGGATAAGCATAGTAATAAACTGCATAATTTGATCAATATTAATCTTCTCATATAGTTGTTCCATCGTCAGACTGCCTAAAATTTCAAACAAAACCCATTCTTCCAATGTACACATAAAACCTATTTTTTTTAAAAATGTGGGAAAAAATTCTCTTTTAAATAGTTTACTTTAAAATATTTGATATGTTGTGACT